GCAAAGAAAAAAAAAAAAGTCCCTATTCATGTAACTGAAACGACGTCATTAGGGACTTTTAGATTTGCACGAAGATAATGTGGATTGCTACGATCGACGTCCTTTTAATGCACTGCCTTGAATGGACGTCACACGTATCAGTCCACACAAATCTAAAAGTCCCTATTACATGCTTATTCATGACCTCCTTGTATTGTAGATGTGGTCAATTAGAGCCAATTAACACGATTGTTTTGGGAGATTTTCTTCGATTCATTCATTAATGTTGATTAGATGGCGCTGTTTCTTTTTCTCTGGCTCAAATATTGATTCAGTCATTTGAGGGTTTCACTTTTTTTCAATATTGCTCCACGAATGGTCGCCAATGAGTTTCACAGTTTCCATTCAATCAATTTGTGTAAATACACAAATAAACATTGGCGCATAGACCTAAATATAATATATATATATATATTTTAATACAATTTGCTCTTTACATCACCTTGGCAAAGTTAGTTATCAATAACCAGCTACAGTGAGTGGTATTTGTCTGAGGCGCGTACGCAGGGGGGGGGGGGGGGGGGGGGGATAGTGGGTTAACCCCCATTTCAGTTTTTTTATGTGTATGTTTTGGGACCCCCCCCCCCCTCCCTTTTGAGTTTTGATTTTTGATTTTTGATTATTTTTTTTGTAATAAATCTTTTTTTTTTTAAATCCTATTAAATGGATGACCTAAAAAAGGTGACTTTAACCCCCCCCCCCCCCCCCCCCAACGGAACGGAATGTCGATCAGTCGCTTTTTCGAATTTTGGGACCAAAATATATATATATATATATATATATATATATATATATATATATATATTTCCTCCCCCCCCCCCCCCCCCCGCTTATTCTGCGGCTGGCTGAGTCGTAGCGAGATTTTTGGCCCGATTTCAAAATGTTAACCCCCCCCCCCCCCTTAAAAAAATCCTGCGTACGCCACTGACTACAGATACTAAAAGATAGTCGTCTATCCATAATGCTAAGATGATCGCAGTCAGTACGGCAGTCATAATATTTACTGGGGGGGGGGGTTCTATGGTATAACCTCTACTATACTAGTATCTTAAATTTTGGAATATAAAAAGCTGTATCTGTTAGCCCATCATCAAGTTTGGATCGATCTGTATATATTTTCAAACAGTAACTGTTCCATTTTGTTGAAATGTTTTTAATGCACAATTTAAGTGCTGTATTGGAAGCGACTCTTTCCTTTTCACTTGATCATGTATACTAAAAGAAACATTTGGTTTTAAAAAATGCCAAGGAGGAGTCGGATACTTATTATAATAATTATCATAATCACATCTTTCATTTCCTGAAATCGTGTTCCCTTCAATGGTTTGGAAAACTAGTAAAGAATATGACTAAAAATCTAAAACAAAAAGATATATTTAATTTCATAATATTTATAAAACCAATCTCTGCCTGATAAGGTGACTATTACCCAGATTTGAAATGACAACATCTCGAATATTAATACTTTTAAATTATCGGAAGGGGGAGGAAAGTGATGCAGCCTCTCCAATAGTATAGTTGTAAAGCGCTTAGAGGCATTTGTATATAAAAGCTAATTATTATTATTATTATTATTATTATTATTATTATTTTTTATTATTATTATTATTATTATTATTATTATTATTATTATTATCCCTCACCCTTGCCTCGTACGCACCTATGAAAATAACTCTAAAAGGAATCAATTTTGTCGTGTACGCATGCAGAAAATGAGCAACAAGCGTCTGCATGATGAACCTCAATGAGAGTTGAACCTGTAATATTATCACAGTTTGGGATCGTTAACTTATTCTTTGTTGTGTTTACAACCGAAATTTGTTTCACGTGTAAAACTGTGCCTTTATCTTTTCTCTCACATTACAGGTCCATGGCAGGGTGAAAGTGTCATTCAGATTGGTAGAATTCGGACACACCGGTCAGATAGAACTTTTCGGGTTCGATCTCTGCTTCAAAGTCTTCAAAAAGTAAGAAGATCCATGATGGCATTTAGTTCTGTCTTATACTTTTATAGCTATAATAGGCACCACATTTTCCCAATTTCATCCAAACACCTGTTTTTATCGAAAGGTAATTTTATTTTCATACAGGGTATCATAAAGAAGACATTTCCAAGTGCATCAACATTAAAGAGAGCAGTACCGAGCTTCATTCGAAGCAGCGAAGAAACCTTGTTTTTAGCCGATAAATTTTGTTGCTGTTTATATGATTTCCTGATGGTGATGATGATGGTGATGATGATGAGTGATTAAATTATTATCTGTAATATTCATACGGCAGAAGTTTGAATAGAAGACCCTTTATTGAAGACAGTTTAATAAACAAATTAAGACAAGAGGTTACTTATTAGCCCAAAGTCATTCTCATTTCACCGTTGAATAACATGTATCACCGCATATATTGAACTCCTATACATCTGAATGTGTATATGCTCATTTAACCACTTCATTATGTTGATCGACGACCCAGTATTACAGTCTAAAAACGAAGATTCTATACTCACTGGAATTGCAATAATCAAGTTTTACTATCCTACTGCATTTTCCTCACATGTTTAGCCTTCATCCCCTTTAATATCTGTCTTTACTCAGGGGTGGAGATATGACCGATTGTCCATATGGCAAATTCCAAATACGCCCCCTGAATTCAAACAACGGTGATCATTACTACCCTTCATCTCTACCCAGCAATCTAGACAACCCTATTGGGCCGTATGCATAAAAAGTAGCAATTGCTTGCAAGCAATATTGCTTCAAGCACAAGCAATCGCTTGTCAAGCAAAAGATCAAGCTCAAGCAATTGCTTAAATCCGTATGCATAACATTTTGCTTGTGCTCAAACCTTTTGCTTGCCTCCAGCAAGCAATTGCTTACGATCTCAACAATAGCGACGTCACGCCGGTGCGAACATCATTCATGGGAGAACAAAGGCGGGTTTCGCCAAGTAGTGGAGCGTGGCCTCCATGCTCTCCACCGTTGTCAGACATCCTCCCCGTTTTTCATCATGTTCAGGTATGAACCTGTGTGCTAACCACTCAAAGTTCTCTTTGTCGAAACGGAATAGTTTCCGATAGGTCTCGGGAGCAATTTCTTCTCGATTTATTCTACTCCTGTACAACTTTGGTTTTTCTCTAACGAGCATAAACATGATGCTTAACCGCGAACGTCCCGATTAAGCAAGAGCTCAAGCTGCTATGACGGAGCTTGAAAAGCGTAAGCAATTGCTTATAAGAACAAGCAAAAGGTTCGTTTTATGCATACGTTTTTAAGCAATTGCTTGATCTTTAAGCAATTGCTTGCGGACATCAAGCAATTGCTTGTGCTTGCTAGCAAAAGCATTTGCATGCAAGCAATTGCTTATGTTTATGCATACGGATTCAAGTAAAAGGCTAGCACAAGCAATTGCTACTTTTTATGCATACGGCCCATTGTATTGACTATTGACTCATGGTCGGTGAGTACATTTAGAAAAAAAAAGTAAGAATGGTGATAAGAATAATGGATAATAGTGAAAATAATGATAATAATAAAAATAATGATTATAATTATAATAATAATAATGAGAAAATGATAATGATAATAATAATCATGATAATAATAGTAGTAATGTGAAATTTATATATAGCGCTTAATACGATAACCGTCTCTAAGCGCTTTACAAATATTTTTAACCCGGTGATCGGATCCATTCACGCACGATGTGCACCATCTCCACTCCCTTGGGGAATATTAATACCATTAAGTTCACCGATACGAATGCCTGCATTTGCATACATGATAATCCGTACAGTTTGCACGGGTCATTTTCGCCACAGGGGCTAGCCCGAATATCAACTTTTCAGTTTCTAGATTTCGCAAGCAGGTGAAGGGAGTGAGCAAAGAAAAGCAAGTTTATTATGGTAAGAAAGACTTCGCAATCACATATAATATACAGACATGAAATACAAATTACACATTCAGCCAATCTCGTTGCCGTTATAACCGTGAGGTGACGGTTGCCCGGGTATTGCTATTTTTTTTAAAGTTCATTTTGTATCTTCCATAGACTGGATTTAGGTTCAAGATTGAAGTTTGGGCTATTGGTGCAACTAATCAATACAAGCAATTCAATTACATGTGTATTCCCGATCCAACATCAGCTTTGGCAATAGAGGACACCGTAAACCTGGGTGGAGCAGGAACATCGCTGTGAGTAAACTCAACTTGTAGTGTCCATCTTCAAAATTAATACACCAATTGTATTCATCTTTGAGATTATTCATTTAGTGGCACTAGGCATTCGTATTGCGCCATCTTTCTAGAACTTCTATTCCGAGGCACACGAGGGAAAACAAAATAGATAAGAATCCGAATGAGTTTTCATGTCGAGCAGTGCTGTAAAAGAAGGTAGGATTTCAACTTGGATTCGGAACTCTCTAATGATATTATAGTTTTCAACTGTCAAGGTAACTGGGGTCTTGGAATCTGAAGAAGATGCTGATGTGCTGTTTTTTTTAAACTATACGAACAGGTGTATAATAATAGATCGTGAATATATCAAAATCCTAATGGTATTAATGGTATATTTTGAAGATTACATTAACATAGCCGCATGTACAATCAAAGGTGAAGTTTGCAGACGAAGAGCCATTCATCTGTCCATGATCAAACTGAATGTACTAGAAAACATCCAAACAAGACTAACGAGTAGTAACACATCAGCTTTGCATCTATGTAAAACTTTCATGAAATTTACGTTTTAGAAAAGCTAAGTTGGTTTTAAGGATAATTCAATATCCAACTCCAAATAATACATGATTTGATTGATGATTGTGTTCATGATACTTGTAATTAGTTTAATCATGCACTATCTTTAGATAGAACAAATCATGCTTCTTTGGAACTGATATTTAGAAAAGAACAGCATTTTCAAATAGGAAAGCTAACTATTTTTGTTCTTTTTATTCTGTTTGTTAGATTGGTCGTTGCAGTTAAGGTTTACTGTGATGTGCATTACTACGGAACATCTTCAGGCTGCGGCACTTATTGTTTAGCGAGAGACAACTGTGAAGGCCATTATGATTGTAATGATACTACAGGAGCAAGGGTTTGTCACTCAGGATGGGACGGATCTTACTGCAATATAGTAAGCCGTGTTTTAAAAATAATATTAATTTGGATTAGGGTTTAAAATGGTTGATGATAAATTGTGTAGAGCTAACGCTTTTTCTAGCTATGTAGTGTGTATTCACTCACGCATGGGGATAACCCCCCCCCCCCCCCCCCCACCAGGCGCCGCATTGGCGTCCTAACGTGTTTTTGTATCCTTTTACCAGGGATAAGTAACATGTCGCTCAAGCCGATGAATTTAGTATGCAAAGGACCATTTGGAATGGTGTTTGGTTCTTTTGTCCCACGTGATAGGTATAAAATGTAATCATATCTGTCTAGAACTGCAATTCAGTAGTTTGAGAAGTGTAGTGCTTATACTAACAAAACAAAAACAAAAAAAAAACAATGCCCTTTCCAATTCCAGGTCATATAGACAGGTGGTATGCTTCATTCCTTTGGAATACTATCATGATTTTTTTTAATTATTCATATTGAACAGAGGAAAACCTGGCAGCATTTCTATGAAGCCTCTCCATATTGTAAATATATCCATCCCTTGGTAATTTGTTAATCTTAAGCTAATTTATGTTCAGCTTTATTTAATTTTTACTATTTTTCATCTGTTGCTTTACATAATATTGTTCTTCATAACCACTTTATTCTTTTTCGTTATACTTTTATATCATTTTGTATTCATCATCGCTATATAATATGCTTGATTTGAACCAACTTGTTATAATATACATATGAAAAAAGTTCTCAATATTTTATTGTATTATTATCATCTGTGGTAAATTAATATCTATTATGTCTGGAATAACTGCTGCCAAAGACTTACAATTTTTTTTTTTTCATATACGAACCATGATAATCTACAGACTGGATCCAGTTCTGGAGAGACCAACACCAGTCAAAGTGGTAAGAATTAACGATGGTTTCCTTTTAATTTAGAATTATAAGTGCACTTCCCAAGACATGATGAGACAAGAAAAAATGAAAAAAAATTAGCCTTTTTTTAATACGATGCGTCATTTTGTTGACAATGATTGCGTCAGAAAGCGGCATGATCTTTGACGTGCAGTGAAATTATAAAACAAACGTAATCAAACTGAACACTTCAAACGTTGCTTTTAATAACTAATGTATGTGCTCTTTGCATTTGCATGCTCAATTAGCGCAGGTAATAATTATGCATAATTATAATGGGGGGCGGGGGAGGGGCTAGACAGGGAGGGCAGGGAGGATTACCCTTCCTCATTTCGGTATGTCTAAACGTCCGTTGAAGTTCACATATATGATTATGACTGTTTTTGCCATGATATCTTATTTTGTTATGTTAGAAATCTTGTAATGTTAGCAATAAAAAGAATCTTAAAAACAAATAGCGTAATCAAAATGATGCTTCGTGCGCAACAAGTACGAAGTTATACGTGCATCCTAAACATATTTATTGCAAATTTGTTTCTATACAACTCCGGTATGGATATATTCCGTCATCAATAACGAAAAAGTTGAAGTTTAACCTTGTTTGTACAGAGTAAATTGTAAAGGAAATCGCAACATACGTCACAGACAGTGTTACCAATTTGTGTTTAATTGATCGCAACTTCGGAAATTCATACTCTCTTTAAAAAAAAGAGTGAATTTTCACTCTATTTTCACTTTCTTGGGAGTGACGTCCGTGATCACTTGTTTAGGAGTGAAAATCGATTGATTTTAGAGTGCTCTCTAAGAAGAAAAGAGTGAATGTTCACTCTATTTTCACTACATTTTCACTCTCCAGAGGAGTGACGTCCGTGATCACTCGATATTTTTTAGAGAGTAACTTTTGTATTTTTTGTCGGAATTTGCTCAAACTTTCACTGACCCCCTTTCATCTAGTTTTTCTAATTCTATTATAACCAAATTAATATCATAGTGGACTTCCTTTTTAAAACAAAGATTTACATGTGATTTAAAGGCATCACATAATAAGGATGGATTAGGAATATAAAGTTTTATGGGACAGCTTCGTATTTTTATTTACTTTAATAGCAACATGTGATTGCGAAAGTGATCCAACGGGAATCAACTACAGGGGATACCTATCGCAGACGAGCTCAGGCTTTACCTGTCAAACATGGAGCACACGCTGGCAAAACTGGCCCTCGTTTCTGTACAACGGGAACTTAGCCGATGAGACATTGGACCACAACTATTGCAGAAACCCAGGTGGACTTGGACTCACTACTTGGTGCTTCACCACTGGTAATGCGAATCAACTGGAGTATTGCGCTGTCGGATCTTTTGACCCTGCGTGTAATAATTCTGCTATATCAGGAGGTAAGTGAGTGCATGTTAAAATGATCTCATTAAGGAAAAGGTAAAATGCATGATTCAAAAGGAAGTAATCTCACCCTTATTCTCATAAGAAACGGATCCAAGGTAGTCAAGGGGAAGGGGGGGGGGAGCGAAACATTTTTTTTTCTTTCCCAGACATGATGATCCCCAGAGAAATCAAGGTTATAAACGGGTTCTAAAAAAGGCAAGGGGAATTAGGAGCGGAGCCACCAAGTGTTTCTCAAAATTGTGGAGACACTTCTCTAGGGTTTGTTGACCCCCTTAAAAAAGAAAAGAGATTTCGGATGAGAAATAGTCATATTTATCGTAGAGCAAAGCCTCAAACCATATCCCCAAGACCCCAACCACCAAATGCCTTTGATGCTCCACACCTATTACCTCTTTTTACGCCATTCAATACGACAGCCACCCCAGAGTCGTACGACACGGGTGTGTGCGTGTGTGTGTGTTTGTGTTTGTCCTGGGGGTTTAGAATACAGGAGCACTCTTTCGGGGGTGTGGGGCTAATATGGTACCTGGACCTGCCCAAGTTTTTCTCATCAATTTCTATCAAAACAGTATATTACAAGTATTAGTATAGATTTTAAGATGACTATCTAAAGTCCTGCTTTTTTTTTCGAAGGTGATCGAGGAGGGTAACATCACTTCACAAAACTGTTAGATGACTAAACAAATCGTATCACCTCCAGAACGAGGCTTTACCTCTCCGCCTTTTGCAAACTTTTGTTATTAACTCAACGGTTATTTTCTTCCCTCATCTTAATTATCCTGACTTGATCTTTCATTCCACATTCCGTTTCAAGTTAGAATGTATTATCAATCTTTGTATGCCCCTGTCACTCTTTTTTCTGTGAGTAAAAATGGATCGGATTGCACCATGTTATCTTTGAATTTGAATATTTACCCAATGAAACTGTATATATTGATGTTTCTTTGTTTGTGCTTAATCATTAATTGCTTCACTGCCGTCATAATACAGGTATGCTAGGTAGGAAGATCTTTGCTCTTGGTATGGAGTCTGGGAGGATAACCGATTCTGCTATCACAGCAAGCAGCGAGTACAACACACACAAGAGGGCTGCACATGGCCGTTTGAACAAGAACTTTTCATGGCGACCCAAAGAAGATGAGCATCCGTGGATTCAGGTTAGAAAGTCAGAAGAAAAAGACTAATAAATAATTCAAATCAATTGATAGAAATATAACAACAAATAAACGAATTAAAACATTTAAATACATGAATTAATAGAAACTGCGAAAAGAAATAATGCAGAAATAAAACAAATACTAATTTTCTAACATCATCATCACCACCACCACCACAACCACCACCACCACCATCATCATCATCCTCATCTCCATCGTCATCATCTACAGTGCATCATTCAGAAAGTGAATAATTGGAAAAGACTCCCCAAATAAATGTTTTAAAATACTTTGTGGAAATCTTAGGATCACTTCCAAGGATATGAGCAAGATATATTAAGGATGCATAATCCATACTCACGAATTTTTTGTTGGGGCAGGTATCAGCCAAGATGAGTGTCGTAAGATTTACGAATTTTTCATTTTCTATTCACTAAAAGACACTTCACTAAAGAACAATTAAGCCTTGTTCCTTGTATGTAATGATATATCATATCAAACGCTTATGCTTGAGTGAACAATTAACTGGTGTGTGCCTGGGAAGAATACATTCTTGCGATGTGTTTTCGGATTTAATCTAGCTTTCTCTCTCAACTATTTAGAGAAGATACAGAGAACCATTTTCATAAATTTTCTTGCAGGCGCGTACGCAGGGGGTGTTTGGGGAGTAAACCCCCCCCCCCCTTTGGATTTTTTTTTTTTTTTTTTATTATAAAAAAATTAAAAAAAAAAAAAATTACCCCATGGCTGACCTAAGAAAGGTGACCTTACCCCCCCCCCCCCCCCCAAACGGAGCAAAATGTCAAATTTTCAAATTTCGAGCCCAAGAAAAAAAAAAGTGTCCGCTTCCCCCCCCCCCCCCCCCCCCCGGCGCGATTTTCAAATTTTCCTGAGTCGTTGCGAAATTTTGGACCCGATTTTAAACCCCCCCCCCCCCCCCCCCCCCCCCCCCTTGAAAAAATCCTGCGTACGCCACTGGACGGCGTAACACGTGGACCCGATGAGCCACGTTTAATGATCAATGAAAATTCATTGTGAATATGCGTACTCCAATTATGATAATGTCATCAAGTCGATGGCTATTGTTTAGGTCGGCAACTTCTAATTGTCAAAGCTTTAGATTTCGAGTTTTCAGTGAGCTATTAGTATCACTCTTCTGAGAGACACTGAAATAACTTGATAGCATTGTAATTATTATGTGGCTTATAAGCTTATCGTTGATATTATATCAAATTTTCATCTATTTTATTAATCATTTCCGACAGGGTCTTTAATACAATTTTGTCTAGGGCACAGGGTAGGATAGCAAACAATGGAGGGAAATGGGAAGGCAATTATACACTAAAGTTGTCATCACTATATTATTTTGTCTTAGGCGGCAATGGAAATCACCAAACCGATGGATGTGTGCCGTTGCATGGGGAGAAACTAGGTATGAAGGAAGGAAGGATAGCAGACGCCAGTATAACTGTATCGTCACTCTCTGACCCTGATCAAGGAGCCTTCTATATGCTCGATTGAATCTGGATGCGATCTCGGGTGTTTCTCCTGGAGCATGGATACCTAACACAAATGATCCAAACCCATGGTTAAAGGTAGGCTACATCTCTTCTCTTAGATCCCCCTCTCTCTCTCTCTCTCTCTCTCTCTCTCTCTATCTCTCTCTCTCTTTCTCTGGATAGAGGCCATTAACAAATTCACTCAGTCTGATGGCCATTCGTTTTCTTTTTCTATCTTTTACTACTTTGTGTTTTGGAGTAGGTATGAGTTATGTGCGTGCGTGTGTTTGTGTGTGTCAACAAATTGGTAATTCATAAAATTCATACAATTTAATAACGATTTTCCACCTCTTATGGGGAGGTTGGTGGATGGTGCAGTGCATTTTATAAGACCTGTCGGTTGCAAAAGTAAAGGCCACACCCAGTGCCTCATAATATCAGATTGTGTTATCGCATAAATACCCTAATGCTATAGAATTCCCCATGAGAACCCAAGCTTATACACGTATGTCTTCGAATGGTACTAATCAGCTAAAAATAATTTGTGTACAGCTAAAATGTATAAACCAACCTCAAATAACTTGGAGGATGAAGAAAATGACGAATATATAAAAACCCGACACAAGGAGCTTGGTGTGTGTGTATGTGTGTGTGTAATTGGGTTTTTACAGACGTGTATCAATCAGATATGATTATTTACGTCTGGGGACCGACCTTTAACGTCACCATCCGAAAGACGTGACTCAGTTTCGAACCTGCGTCCTCGGCTGAATCAGTTTGTAACTTCCACTGTTAGCTGGATTACAGGCGCACGCCACAACGCCTAGCAATCACCGAGTTGAAGGGCCGCAATGGCTCCTCGCTGCAAGCAATAAAGAAGTATATCGCTACCAATTTGGGTTCAGTGTGAGCCTTTATATGCTGGCGCGCGTGGATGCGTCGAATTGTCTACTCACAAGTCGCTTTTATGATGATTGAGGATGTATTTCAATTTGAAATATTTCTTTTAACGCATATTTGAAGCTCATATTTTAACTACATGATTATATTAGCGACATTGAATCCCCAGCATTCAGAGCGAATATGTTTTGGTGATTTGTACACTTATACCGCGTCATACCAAAAGACGTTAAAAGACGGGAGTTGCTGCTACTTTGTTTTACGTTCAACAATAAGGGATAGAGCAACGTCGATCTGGCGCTGCTCAGAGGCTGCCGGGCTCACGATCAATTGGACAAAAAGAATTTCCATTTTAGATTTAACCCTAATAGGGCCGGGCTATTTGAAGTCTTAGTAGGGCCGGGGGGGGCCATTATGGCCCGCCCCCCTTAAGATCTCGGCCGCGAAGCGGCCGATCGCCGCGAAAATTTGCACGCATATCAAATGAAGTGTAAAGAATAATATGTTAATTTCAATTTTTTGAAAAATTCACTCATTTGCATATTTATGGTAATTTATGCAAATAAAGTCATAAAAATCACATTTTTACCCATAAATCATATATTATTCATATTTAAGCATTCTTTTTCACTAGATATATTCATTAGACCATTCTGAATAATAATACGACAACAAATTTGGAAGAGCCAGCTTATCTCTTATGTTATCCCTTGTTTTGATAATTTCTTATGTATTTCATTGTTTTTTTAAATTATGTATTTCATTGTTTTTGTTGTTTTATTTCATCTTTTACTACAATTCAACTATTTTGATTCCCAAAACAACCACCTAAACTTTAACCAAGACCCAATAACCCATGTTTGATCTGTTTTTAGGAAAAATGACTTTGCCATACATTTTGTACACAAATCACGAAAATGAGCGATTTTCAGGCTGACATGCAAGGACAAAAGGTCACGTGACCTTGTAACCGTAGGTCCGATTTTCAAAAAAATTATTTTAAAAGTTGCGCAAGGCTTGAAAGAAAAAAGTCAGCGAGCGGCGGGGCGCCATCCATATGCGTTCTCGAGCAATCAGAAAAATTGTGGAGGGGGGGCCATAATGGCCCCCCGGCCTTATTAGGGTTAACTTAATAAAATTTGGAGTCGACTTTAAAAGATTATTATTATTATTATTTCAGATCGACCTTGTGACTGATCATCGCGTGACAGGAGTTATCACACAAGGGCGTGGCCATCCAGTCAACAAGGATTGGACGACATCCTTCTCGCTCTCCCTCGACAAATGACATCGATTGGCAAGAATGGGAAGAGTGTGGATCGACAAGGGTAAGGCAAAGAAAAACAAATTGGTCTACGAGAACACGATCGCGAGGCTTTCCAAAAATAATCTTAAGAAAATTGTAATGGGAGATAACACCAGGGTATTGAAATAAATCTTGGTTGGTTTTCTTGAT